TTGTATATAGTCAATCCATTTTTTCCAGTCTCGTTTATATCTCTCATTTGAGTGATCTTTAAGATATGTGTTCATCTGAGTTTTGTGTGTGGGTATTTTGTATGTTTCTAAAAAAAAAATAATAAAAAATAAAAAAATAAAAAATAAAAATCTCCTGTAGAATCCCCAGCTGCATCAGTTTTATTTTGTGCCTTGTCCCTCTTCCTCAAAGGAATAGTAGGCCATAAGTGAAGTGGACCCTGTACTGTATTCCTGAAGGAATAATGTGGAGGATCTGATTATGCTGATTATTATCAGTGATGGATCTGATTATCTGATTATTATCAGTGATGGATCTGTTGGGTTGGATATCTTCAGTTAAGACTGCAGAGGTTGCCTAGACTGGCTGATGATAGAAAGGTTTCAATTCCTGCTCTCAATTGGGGAGTGCAATTACTCTTCTCTGTTCAGTGTGCCCCTCAGCATTTGTTATCAGACCATATTACTATTTCTTTTTTAAACATTTCATACTATCCATGCTAAGTTTGTTTTATGGTTAATACACCATTTTGCCCATTTACATGCTTTATTGAAAAAGGAACAATTGATTTAGCATTATTAAAAATAAAGTACTGTATGTTTCTATTTCTTTGAACCTACATCTTCTCTGGAGTTCTTTTTCACGCAGCCAAAGATGTGCACATTCTGTTATACAAATTTGGCATGTTGAAAAATTGTAAATCTAATCTGCTTCTAGGTTTAAAAAGCATACTGTATATACCAAACACATCATAACGGAGCAGCCAGGGACAAGACTGAATAGATAAGAATGCTGGTGTGTGTATAAACGTTTATAATTCAGATTTTTAAAGGCATTCTTTTTAGTTCCTGTGGGTCACATTCTCTGGAGACCACACTCCCACTAACTGGGTCACAAGTAGTTGGACAGCAGCTTAAATATATTTTTTTCTCTTTAAAACGTCAGAAATTTTTTTATGTCTTAGCTGGGGAAATATTCTTGAAGAAATTAATATCTTTATACTTTGCTTCTAGTGAATATGTAACCAGTGCATTATGTATCCCACTTGCAAGTCAAAAGAGGTAAGTGCAAACTTTTCTTAACAGTTAAATTATCTTATTAAGTCTAAAGCATGCATTATATGAGAATAAGTTTTGATAAAATTTATTCCATGTTCTTTATATGAGACAGGAGCTCCACAGGCCGTCCTGACTGGACCTGCATTGTTGTAGGATTCACCTCTGGCTATGTCCGCTTCTATACTGAGGTACATCAGCTATTTCCTGGGTTGTTTGCTATTGTCACCTTTAGAGTTTATTGTATTGCATTCTACATGAGGCTGCCTTTGGAAATGCCATGGATATTGCAAAATACAACAGCAGCCTTGTGGTAGGTGAGAACTGCCAAATGCATATAATGTTGAGGGGCATTGAGCTCTTCTCTGTAATGGCTGCCGCAGTTTTTTAGCAGAATTGAAAGTGCTAGTTTTAACCTATAAAATAATGTAAGCCACATAGAGTTGCCTCTGGCATGATGTTGCTAGGTGACCGCTTAACTACAAGATAACCTGTATCAGATATAATTTACTTCTCTGGTCCACATGTACTGAAGAGATTTGAAAGGTCAGGAAACAGGAGGAAGATTGGAATCAGTATTTTTCACTTGTCAGACTCTATCTGGAATAATCTTCCCTTGGAAATCTGGAGAACCTTACTTCTGACCCAATTAAGAGCTTACTATATGAGCTCTTACCCCAAGAAAATGTTGCCAACTCGTCATGATCTCATTGGTCCTTCCCAAGAGCTGCGCCATGGCTTGAGCACTGTAGGGGTAGAGAGTATATTCTGTGCTGTCAGGCTTTGGTAGTTGTAATGGAAAGGCTTTGTTTTTAGCCTTTAGATTTTTTTCTTGGAGAATGAGTCTTGAAAAACAAGCCAATTTAGGGTGTACATTGACTCACTATTGAAGGGCAAAATGTCATTCAGAGTACCAGGATATGCCCATAGCACTTGTTGGAAACTCCCCAAACCAAATGTGCCTTTAGCTGGAATCATGCACAATCTGCAGAGAGCAGTCATGCAAGACCATGGAAAGATGTATCTTCACAGTTGGAAGGCATATTTTTTTAGTGTATAGTTATATTATATTAGATTTATTAGTGCTAGGTAAATGATGATGACGTTATCCATTCAGTCATGTCCAACTCCTGGCGATTCTATGGGTCAGGTTGCACCACAACGTCTCATTTTGCATTGCTTCTTTGAGAATATACCAAATTTGATTTATTTTACAGTTGCCAATATATAACTGCAGCTATTTCTTGTCGATACTAATTGTAATTGTAATTGTTTATTTTGGTTTATTATTTTATGTTGCTGGTTATTGATCGAATAAACAAATTGTATCTTGATAGCAGGCATATATATGTAACTATTCAAGTTCATAAAGGAGGTGAGAAACATAAAAAACAAAATGGAACAATCAGCACCCTTCAAAGCAATGTTCATTTATTCATTCTATTTATAGAGCTGCACATCATGGCTCTACATGATTATGGATGTCACAAATAATTAAAAATAACCACCACTTGCTCAAAAGAAGACACACATAAAGATAAAAAGCTAAAACAATTATAAAACATATACAGGGTTTGATGTATTT